AGTTTCACAGATCGCAGCCCCCCCAGGGATGGCGACGTCTAATTGGAATCTGCGCGTTGCCCTCGCTGTGCTGGGCCCCCAAGCAGGCCCCGAAAATGGCGACAGTTTCACAGATCGCAGCCCACCAGGGATGGCGAGGTCTAATTTGAATCTGCGCGTCGCCCTCACTGTGCTGGGCCCCCCAGCAGGCCTCGAAAATGGCGATAGTTTCACAGGTCGCAGCCACCCGCAGGCAAGACAGGAAGAGGCAGGGAGGGAGGAAGGAAGGAGTGGAGACCACACTGCTCTATTCAATACGAATACCCAACCAAGGAGGGTTGGGAACAACTTACCCTGGCGACGTACCCAACCCCTGCGCAAACGCGGGGCGCAAACAGTGTAGGACACTTTATAGGGGGGCGATGACGGAGCGAGGGTTACATATGTCTGCAGACGGAATTCGGGAGACTCGCAGGACACTGGCTACAGGACAAGGACAAGATAAAGCTGATTAGATTCAATCCCTGAGCAACCCTAGCCACTTCGAAAGCGGGGATCTCATATCGCAGCTCCCCAGGGATGGCAAGGTCGAATTTGGGCCCGCGCGTGGCGTCGCTGTGCTGGGCCCCCCAGCAGGCCTCGAAAGTGGCGACAGTTTCACAGATCGCAGCCCCCCAGGGATGGCGAGGTATAATTTGGGTCCGCGCGTGGCGTCACTGTGCTGGGCCCCCAGCAGGCCTCGAAAGTGGCGACAGTGTCACAGATCGCAGCCCACCAGGGATGGCGAGGTCCAATTTGAATCCGCGCGTGGCGTCGCTGTGCTGGGCCCCCTAGCAGGCCTCGAAAGTGGCGACAGTTTCACAGATCGCAGCCCCCCAGGGATGGCGAGGTATAATTTGGATCTGCGTGTGGCGTCACTGTGCTGGGCCCCCCAGCAGGCCTTCGAAAGTGGCGACAGCTTCACAGATCGCAGCCCCCCAGGGATGGCGACGTCTAATTTGGATCCGCGCGTGGCGCCACTGTGCTGGGCCCCCAGCAGGCCTCGAAAGTGGCGACAGCTTCACAGATCGCAGCCCCCCAGGGATGGCGACGTCTAATTTGGATCCGCGCGTGGCGCCACTGTGCTGGGCCCCCCAGCAGGCCTCGAAAGTGGCGACAGTTTCACAGATCGCAGCCCCCTAGGGATGGCGAGGTCTCATTTGGGTCCGCGCGTGGCGTCACTGTGCTGGGCCCCCCAGCAGGCCTCGAAAGTGGGGGCAGTTTCACAGATCGCAGCCCCCAGGGATGGCGAAGTCTAATTTGGGTCCGCGCGTGGCGTCACTGTGCTGGGCCCCCCAGCAGGCCTCGAACGTCGCGACAGTTTCACAGATCGCAGCCCCCCAGGGATGGCGAGGTCTAATTTGAGTCAGCGCAGGGATGGCGATGTCTAATTTGGATCCGCGCGTGGCGCCACTGTGCTGGGCCCCCCAGCAGGCCTCGAAAGTGGCGACACTTTCGCAGATCGCAGCCCCCCCAGAGATGGCGAGGTCTAATTTGAGACTGCCCGTGGCGTCACTGTGCTGGGCCCCCCAGCAGGCCTCAAAAGTGGTGGCAGCTTCACAGATCGCAGCCCCCCCCCCCGCCCCAGGGATGGCGACGTCTAATTTGAGTCTGCCCGTGGCGTCACTGTGCTGGGCCCCCAAGCAGGCCTCGAAAGTGGCGACAGTTCCACAGATCGCAGCCCCCCCCACGGATGGCGAGGTCTAAATTGAATCTGCCCGTGGCGTCACCGTGCTGGGCCCCCCAGCAGGCCTCGAAAGTGGCGACAGTTTCACAGATCGCAGCCCCCCAGGGATGGCGAGGTCAAATTTGTGTCCGCCCGTGGCGTCACTGTGCTGGGCACCCCCCAGCAGGCCTCGAAAGTGGCGACAGCTTCACAGATCGCAGCCCCCCCAGGGATGGCGATGTCTAAGTCCCCCCAGCAGGCCTCGAAAGTGGCGACAATTTCACAGATCGCAGCCCACCAGGGATGGCGAGGTCTAATTTGGATCCGCGCTCGGCGCCACTGTGCTGGGCCCCCCAGCAGGCCTCGAAAATGGCGACAGTTTCACAGATCGCAGCCCCCCAGGGATGGCGAGGTCTAATTTGAGTCTGCCCGTGGCGTCACTGTGCTGGGCCCCCCGGCAGTCCTCGAAAGTGGCGACAGTTTCACAGATCGCAGCCCCCCAGGGATGGCGAGGTCTAATTTGAATCTGCCCGTGGCGTCACTGTGCTGGGCCCCCCAGCCGGCCTCGAAAGTGGCGACAGTTTCACAGATCGCAGCCCCCCAGGGATGGCGAGGTCTAATTTTGGTCCGCCCGTCGCCCTCACTGTGCAGGGCCCCCCAGCAGGCCTCGAAAGTGGCGACAGTTTCACAGATCGCAGCCCCCCAGGGATGGCGAGGTCTAATTTGGGTCCGCCCGTCGCCCTCACTGTGCTGGGCCCCCCAGCAGGCCTCGAAAATGGCGACAGTTTCACAGATCGCAGCCCCCCTGGGATGGCGAGGTCTAATTTGAATCCGCGCGTGGCCCTCACTGTGCTGGGCCCCCCAGCAGGCCTCGAACATGGCGACAGTTTCACAGATCGCAGCCCTCCAGGGATGGCGACGTCTAATTTGAATCCGTGCGTCGCCCTCACTGTGCTGGGCCCCCCAGCAGGACTCGAAAATGGCGACAGCTTTACAGATCGCAGCCCACCAGGGATGGCGAGGTCTAATTTGCTGCGCGTCGCCCTCACTGTGCTGGGCCCCCCTGCCGGCCTCGAAAATGGCAACAGTTTCACAGATCGCAGCCCCCCAGGGATGGCGAGGTCTAATTTGAATCTGCGCGTCGCCCTCACTGTGCTGAGCCCCCCAGCAGGCCCCGAAAAGGGCGACGGTTTCACAGATCGCAGCCCCCCCAGGGATGGCGAGGTCTAGTTTGAATCTGCGCGTCGCCCTCACTGCGCTGGGCCCCCCAGCAGGCATCGAAAATAGCGGCAGTTTCACAGATCGCACCCCCCCAGGGATGGCGAGGTCTAATTTGAATCTGCGCGTCGCCCTCACTGTGCTGGGCCCCCCAGCAGGCTTCGAAAATGGCGACAGTTTCACAGATCGCAGCCTCCCGCAGGCAAGACAGGAAGAGGCAGGGAGGGAGGGAGGAGGAAGGAAGGAAGGAGTGGAGACCACACTGCTCTATTCAATACGAATACCCAACCAAGGAAGGTTGGGAAACATTACCCTGGCGACGTACCCAACCCCTGCGCAAAAGCGGGGCGCGGGGCGATGACGGAGCGAGGGTTACATATGTCTGCAGACGGAATTGGGGAGACTCGCAGGACACTGGCTACAGGAAAAGGGATTGATAAAGCTGATGAGTTACAATTCCTGAGCACTCCTAGCGACTTCGAAAACGGCGATCACAGCAGGCCTCGGAAGTGGCGACGGTTTCACAGATCGCAGCCCCGCAGGAATGGCGAATTCTAATTTGGGTCCGCGCGTCGCCCTCACTGTGCTGGGCCCCCCAGCAGGCCTCGAAAGTGGCGACAGCTTTACAGATCGCAGCCTCCAGGGGATGGCGAGGTCTCATTTGGATCTGCCCGTGGCGTCATTGCGCTGGGCCCCCCAGCAGGCCTCGAAAGTGGCGACAGTTTCACAGATCGCAGCCCCCCACGGATGGCGAGGTCTCGTTTGAATATGCCCGTGGCGCCACTGTGCTGGGCCCCCCAGCAGGCCTCGAAAGTGGCGATAGTTTCACAGATCGCAGCCCCCCAGAGACGGCGAGGTCAAATTTGAATCCGCGCGTGGCGTCACTGTGCTGGGCCCCCCAGCAGGCCTCGAAAGTGGCGACAGTTTCACAAATCGCAGCCCCCCAGGGATGGCGAGGTCGCATTTGAAGCTGCCCGTGGCGTCACTGTGCGGGGCACC